TCTCATCACCTGATCAAAGAATGTAGGTTGTCTCTTTCTGATGTGGACTAACAGTTCTCTTCGTGAGTCAGTTTCGTTCAGGACGTCTTCTTTACTCTTTTTATGTGTCCAGAGTATTCTCATCATTCGTCTGTAAAATCACATCTCCTCAGCTTCCAAACAGATTCTCACTAATTTACCAACTGTCCAAGATTCAAATTCACACTAGCCGCATTTTCTCACTAGGGTCTTACCGCACGGCACGACCTCGGGGCATCACCCCTGGGCATTGTCTGATGTTCATTTTAAGCTGGGCTGCCCTGTGAGCCAGGGTTAAGTTTGGCGGGGAGACAAATCCAAAAAAACTATGGACTGGTAGACGAGCGTCTATACCAGTGGCTCTCAACCTTCCTAAAGCGGCAACCCTTTAATAAAGTTCTTCATGTTATGGTGACCCTCAACTATAAAATGTGATTTGTTGCTACTTCATAACTTTAGTGTTTATGTGTTTCACGCAGGTCTTAAGTTATCCCTGTGAAAAAAAATCCTATGGTCCCCAAAGGGGTCACGACCCACCTGACGAGAACCGCTGGTCTAGACTCTAAAATAGAAAGGAAGCTGACTACTCCATTTAACATAAGCTAGCATATATGACGACCTACCACTCCATAGTATCTGTTAAGGGACTACGTTTATCTTTCAAAAGGCATACACATCTGAAACATGCTGTGACAATTTTAGAGATTTCTGGAGGGATAATCAAAGGAAGAAACCTGCCAAAGAAAACTTTTTTTTTTTAGTATGGAAAGGTGTCTGCACTATTTGTGAAGTGTGATCACCCACGCTAGTCGGCATGACACTTGTTGGTGATAATGGTGATGATTGACGATGACGATGATGACGGTGGGAATGATGATGATGATTATGATGATGATTATGATGATGATAAGTAACTGAGGCTAGTAAGACAACTGCACAGGTGGATCCAAGATGGGGTAAATGACCTACTGAAGCAGCAACAGACGGAGGACACCTGGCTTATGTCGGAGAGACATTTCGAAAGATTTTTATTGGAGGCAAAGTTAAGTATCAGGGACTAAGATAGGCATTTTAAGAGTAACATTCTCGGAAATGAGAAAAGTAGCTTCCATGGCAGAAATGTACAAAGTAATAGCTAAGACATTTTGAAAATAACTAGGAGAAAAATACCAGAACTTTCTACGGGAGGTTACAGCCGGTTAAGGTAAAGAAGAATAAGAAAATTGAAAAATAGAACAGATATATCGTGAGTTACTAGGACTGGTTTAAAAAAAAAAAAAAAAAAACAGAATATACACATTGGAAGTTACAACTAAGATACAAATATTGGAGATAACTAGAAATAGAGGAAGAAACATCTAGAACTGAAATATTCAAAGTGACAAGTAGACCAAACATACTGGAAGTAAACTCTAAAACATAAATACGGAAGTAACATCTAACAGCAAAAACAGAAATACCGGAAGTAACTAGAACAAACAAATTGGAAGTGCACTCGCAAAAAACATGCACGCGCATACATTCCTACTCACACACAGAGATGTATGTGTTGTTGAAGCCTACTCGTTATGCTTGAGAGGTGCTGTCGATCGATGGGGGGTGCTAGTTCGAATCCTGGCTTTGCAACTAGTATTCTTACCAGACTCCCAGGCCTCCTAAGTCTAACATGATATCGAAATGTTGTGGGAAATAAAGGCGACCAATTGTAGACTGGCATAACATTCATTAGGTGGCGATTTCTATATACTCAGTATTCCAGGCTTAATCCTGTTACTGTAAACTTCACAGGATAGATGTGTTCTTTTTTATTTAACTCTTTGAGGCCCAAGAAACGCGTCATACCTTCATAGATTCCTACCTAGAAGCACAATGAACGCAAGAAGGGCCGATTTTACGTCTTTCTTGACTACCCCTTGGGCCTGTGATGCTATACCCCCTGGGGCCCAAAAAGTTAATCATTATTATCGTTATAAATCCACATCATTAACATCATCACTATCACCATCACCTTTAACATCAACACATCAGTCAGCATCACTATTAGTATCAACGTCATTGCCATCTTCATAATCAAGTGTCATCTCGAGGTGCTTAAAGGGAAATATGAGGTCAGTTTTTACCGAGTAATATGAGGTCAGTTCTCAACTCAACCGCCTGTAACTCCTTTTCTCGGAATCGAAGGTTCGCTGTAACAGATCTGAGACACTGTGCCTAGTCTCTGCTTCATTGTAACTTTACTAATGGCTGAAAATCTGATTAATGATTTTACTTATTTTATTATTATTCCGTATTCTACTTTCTTTTTGTCTGTCTGTCTGTCTGTCTGTCTGTCTGTCTGTCTGTCTGTCTGTCTGTCTGTCTGTCTGTCTGTCTGTCTGTCTGTCTGTCTGTCTGTCTGCCTGCCTGCCTGCCTGCCTGCCTGCCTGCCTGCCTGCCTGCCTGCCTGCCTGCCTGCCTGCCTGCCTGCCTGCCTGCCTGCCTGCCTGCCTGCCTGCCTGCCTGCCTGTCTGTCTGTCTGTCTGTCTGTCTGTCTGTCTGTCTGTCTGTCTGTCTGTCTGTCTGTCTGTCTGTCTGTCTGTCTGTCTGTCTGTCTGTCTGTCTGTCTGTCTGTCTGTCTGTCTGTCTGTCTGTCTGTCTGTCTGTCTGTCTGTCTGTCTGTCTGTCTGTCTGTCTGTCTGTCTGTCTGTCCGGTCCGGTCCGTCCCGTCCGTCCGTCCGTCCGTCCGTCCGCAGTTTGCAGGTTAACATTTTTATTCGAGTGTTAAGTTTTCAATGTTGTGAAATGTTACCTTTGCAGTGGCGAAAAATGACCAACACTTGACAGTGTCGGGGGCCGACCTGCATGGATCATGCAGGAAAATCACAAGCAATCTTCTCGTTTATCGTACCTATATTGGAAACCGTGTTGCACACCTACCATCCTTGCATCAGATGGATTACACCAGCCTCATATTCCGTAATAATAATAATAATAATAATAATAATAATAATAATAATAATAATAGCAACATTAGCCGCATCATCAACAGCGGCAGTTTTTTTTTTTTTCTTTAGAAATGTTAGTTAGAATCTAAACAAAAATAATAATTATGACAGTAGTACCTAATGAATTAATAGTTCTAGTAGCAGCTATGGCATTCGTTGTATCGGTGGTGGTGGTGGTAGTAATAGTAATTGTAGTAGTAGCAGCAGCAGCAACAGCAGCAGCAGCAGTAGTAGTAGTAGTAGTAGTAGTAGTAGTAGTAGTAGTAGTAGTAGTAGTAGTAGTAGTAGTAGTAGTAGTAGTAGTAGTAGTAGTAGTAGTAGTAGTAGTAGTAGTAGTGGTAGTAATAGCAACAACAGTAGTAGAAGAAGAAGTCAGGGTAGCGGTGGTAGGACCAGCAGCAGAAGAAAAAACAGCAGCAGTACTAGTAGCAGCAGAAACAGCAATGATGATAATGAGGACGATGAGAATAATTATAATAATAATTTTAAAATAACAGAATTGCCATTGAAAGATATTAGAAACCTGTTAGAAGCAAATTAACGTTCCAGATTATCTATGTTATTATATATGAACACATAACAGTCACAATTTACATAGTATACAGAATATTTGAACAGAATTACAGGCAATAATATCACAAATATTGCAAATGATAATTTATGTGAGTGTGTATCCTTTTATCTATCCCTTTCAATTACCGTCATTTTTTTTCCCCATACTACCGCTGTGACAGAAACATTCTAAGAATACGATGACTAGAAGAAGAAAAACATCGACATCCTTCATGCCCTAAACATCAAGGAGACCTGGTTCATAATCAGCATCTTGTGACGAAAACTGAGGCATTTAGAAGGCCATTTCACGCGCCATGGTGAGCTAGAAAATGCGGTTATGTAATCACAATCGACGTTTTTATACAGTAGACATCCCCATGCGTGCTCAGTCCTCTGATGCAGCAGCCACTCCAAAGTGCCTCTTCTGATTGTTCTCATGATAAACTGATTTTCCTGTCTTTACCACGAAGACGGCATAGTCGTGCTTCACCAAGCTCAACTCCTCGGTCACAGTGGGTATTTCACAAATTTTTGTGTTGTCAGCAATCTTTGTACCACTTCATGTTTCCCTCTACTTTCTCAGTATGTATCTGTGTTTTCAGCAATCTTTGTTAACACTAGATTGTTTTACTCAGTATTCACAACATTTCTCTGTTTCTCAGCATCGTAACACTTAAACCCCCCCCCCCCCCCAACCCCCTCCAAATTCACAATATTTCTTTTTTTTTTTTTTTTTAGAAATCTTCTTAACACTCGCTTGTCTCAATATTTTCCACTCCATTATTTGCCTTTTTCCGAATTTCACCATTCTTACGTTTTATTAAAAAAATTTATTTCATCATCGTAAGCTTTAGGCAATGTTAATGACATTTATATTTATTTGTCTTCAAATTTCCCCACACATCCGTAGTTTCAGAACACTGTTTTACTTAATATTTCTCACATCGTCTGCTGTTTTCTTCCTCACAAGTCAACATCACACGTATGTTTACCTCAGTAATTCTAACATTCCTCAGTGTTTCAATTTCCACCAGCGAAAAAAAAAAAAAAAACGTGTCTGTATGTTCGATTCATTCATGCAATTTCTTGTTTATATCTAATGTGTGGCTGTGTGTGTGACCGCCTATGGTTTATTTTTAAGCTCGAACTCATATTTCTCAAAACATGTAATAAAATACACAGGAAAGGGTTTAGGGGGAAATAACTTGTAAGTACAGATATCACAAGTTACCGTTCATCACAGGTCGTTTAATCATGTAAAATTACAGATCCATCTGTTTCCTGGAGTCATCCTGACTTTACCGTCATATTAACGGAGTAATTGGCGAAAGCAATTAATGAATCACAAACAACATAAATATATACAACATGCGTCATGTCTGAGTTTAGGCCAGCAATATTTTACTCAATTATCTTGTGAAAGTTACGTTTCTTGAAAGTATTTCATAAAACGTCACTGTCTTCAAGTGCCTTTTGGCGTTTCTTTGCTTTTGCTGTAACCTTCTGGCGACGCTGGCCAATATTAGGAGAAGGCACGGGTGGGGTAGTTGCCAGATTGGCTTCAGTTCCATGTCCGTCTGCTGGGATCAAAAAAGAAGCAGGAGTGGCATCTTTGCTAGTTGAAGGTTGTATTACGGGGAACTTTGGTTGCTGTAGTCTGTTTTCTGCCGTGTCTGGCTGTGGAGTTGGGGACTGCTGCTGCTCGAGATCGACTCGCTCTGGAATACACTCCGGGTGTCTTTGAAACTTCCTGGATCCCGATCTTGAGTGGGAGATGTGATGTTGAAACTGGGGTGAATGATCCACACCGACCCCTTTTGGTAACAACCCATCCATTGATCGGGAAAACGCCTGTAGCTGTCCTTTTAGCTGATCGGGGCCTGTTTCCTTCTCAGCTCCCCCAGAGGCAGAGGGTTCTTCGTCAACTTCTGTAATTTCGTCAAAAGTTACCGGCTGAGTCTTGTACCTTGCACCACTTCGCTGAGTTTTATTCTTTTTCTTCCGAAAAGACCCCGACAGGTTGAAATCACCATGAAGATGTAGCCTAGACAGACGCTCCGGAAAATGAGTGTCGAAATTATACATTGGATCGTGAACTTTTGGGGGCTGGGATGCCATCATAATGGTCCTGTTTCTAGCACCTTCCTTCTCTCCACTCTTGCAGACAACAGCCAGAACTTTGAGCAGACCTAAATCCAGTAATCGTACTTTTCAGAAATTTGTATTTTGTTTTTTCTTTGGTTATACTTTTTAAATCACCCTAATCTAACTTCGGCTAATAAATGAAACCCAAGAACTATACAGATAACCCAATTTCTTCAGAAAGTGAAGATATCGAATTTCCTCTCATGAAATCACTTCAGTTTTTTCTTGGCTATTTAAATATTCAACTGAAGATTCACATCAATGTCAGTACTAATTATTTTTAGACGCTGGGTTTTAGAAACAAGATCTACAAAACAGGGAAATGAATCAGAAAATCATTTTTTGTTTTGTTTTTGGCTGCAAACGAAGAGCAACGATTTACCGTTGTATATTTGAAGAAGATGTGGAGATTTATTCCAGACTATACATTTTCCAAGCTGTACTTTGTGCCTGCTTTGTTCCAATTCTGCAGACTTGGGTAATGGCAATCTTTACCAGTTTTCAAGGTCGTCAACGAAAGAAAATTAACACATGTTTAAAAAAAAAAAAAAACTGATTATACTGATCAGGTGAAAAGTCAGTTACAAACATACTTTCGTTGTTTAGCACAATTTTTACACATAATTGTGTGATGTTTTTAGACTCTCAGACGTGGTAACTGGCAGCTTAAATGTTGGCTTGAAAAGAAATGGTAGTTCTCACTTGTAGTCGAAGTTCAATGCGATTGTAAGAAGATCAAGTGTGGCCTGAAACGAGAAAACAGGAAGTGGTTACATCGAATGCATATATTGTACATATGCACTCTGTTTTTATTTTACCAGCATAAGTAAACATTTGATAAAAATTCAATAGAACGAATTCAAAAAAGGCGAAAAAATTCGAACAATATGTAGATAACTGTTTGTTTCAACTTTTATAAGAAAAGCTAGCACATTTAGTGGCAGAGACTTCTGTCTTTGGGGGCGTGGGATCTAATTTTTGTTAGTGGCAGAGACTTCTATCTTCAACATGGGAAACACAACAACTGAGGCTTCAACACAGTTTGGCTACCGCCTAAAGAAAAAATATACTTTCTCAGCCATTATCTTCTTATTCGTGTTCACCGGCTGTAAACTCCGATGGAAAGTTCTGAGTGTTCGTTCACGTCCGGACTTAAGTTCCAGAAGATGTCTGTTGCGAGCACGTCCGTTTTATTATCTGGTGTATTGTATGCAGACTCTTGGTTCCTTGCCTCTCAGCCGATGTACTCTGACTTGGAAGAATGTCCCCAAAATGTCCTCACACAACATGCCTATTGAGAGGCAGTGGGTCTATTTTTAACCCCCCCCCCCCCCCCAACAGAGTCCTGGAACCTACATAGCGTCAGCCGTTATAAAATAGAAAGCAGTACTTAATTTGGTGCAGGCAGAGATATCTTCATCATCAGTTCTCATTATGCCTAGTGGCACATGAGGCTTTAGAGAGGACTTTCCTGTCCTGTGCAATCTTTAGTGCAGTTTTCCATGTCAAAGATGTTGCACTCAGGTCACTTTCCATCGTTCGTCTCCATGTTGTTTTTGGGCGTCCCTGTTATCTCTTTTCCTCTGGTATCCATGTGAGAGCTGTTTTGGCAGGTATATCAGGATTCATTCTCATAATGTGGCCAAGCCATTTCCATCTTCTCATGGCTATCACACTGCCTAGAGTTTCTTGGTTTGTGACTTGAAGTAGTTTAGTGTTTGAGATTGTATCTGACCAGAAAATTTTGATACTTCTACGTAGACATGTGTGGTGGAAGGGGGACAGGTTGTGTGCATCCATTTTGGTCATTCTCCAGCATTCTGCTCCATAAAAAAGAACTGGCAAAATGATGCTTTTGTAGAGTCGGAGTTTATTTCCGCTGCCATAACTGTTGAATTTCCAGATTTGCCTCATCCTTCCAAAATCAGCTCTAGCTTTGTTCAGGCGCAACTGTGGGTTTTCCTCTGTCCCTGCCAGTAGGGACACCACACTGCCAAGATATGTGGAATGTTCTACATTTTCAAGTGTTTGGTTATTTATGTTCACTGTTTGTTGCTTTGGACTGCTTGTCATGATCTTAGTTTTCTTTTTTTTTTTTCAATTCTCAGTCCCACCATTTCTGCTGTACTGTGTAGTCTGTTCATTTTCTCTTGTATATTTAATGTTTATGTGATAAGAATTGTGGTTGGTGGGCACAATGTAAGCAATTTACGTTATGCTAATGACAGTCATGATAGCAACAAGTCAGAAAGAACTACAGGAAATGATAGACATTGTGGATCGCCCACGCCAGTCAGTAAGGCACCTGATGATGATGATGATGTGATAGGAGTGCTACATCATCTGCAAAATCAAGGCCCTCGAGAATGGTGAATGGAGTTCATCGTATGCCTCTTAATGTCCTGTCTACTGTGTTCTTTAGTATCCAATCAATCACAAGGTTGAAGAGGAGAGATGACATAACACATCCCCGTGTTACACTTGTCTTTATTGGGAAAGATGTAATGTAATTTTTTATACTGCAGGAAAAGTCTTTATAAAAAAGAGCAATTATGTTGACTATCTTTTCTGGAATTCCATAATGTCCTAAAGTTTTCCAGAGACTGTCTCTAGGGACGCTGTCAAAATCTTTCTCAAAGTCCACAAAATTAATATATATACTTCTCTGCCATTCATTGCATTGTACTTAAATGTTACGTAGGGTGAAGATGTGCTCAGTTGTTCCTCTGCCCTTTCTGAATCCTGCTTGTTCCACTCGTAGGCATTTATCTACTCAATTTTCGAGTCGCATTATGATGATTTTACAAAAAATATTTTGCTTGGTACTGACAGTAGCGTAATTCCCCTCCAATTATCGCAGTCTGTTAATTTTCCTGTTTCAGGGATTTGTGGACTATTGTTCCTTCAGTCCAGTCAGCAATCAACACTTCTTTTTCCAAAATATCCTTGAACAATGGTTCTAGAATGCTGGCAGTTGTGTTGGGATCTTCTTTGAGAAGTTCTGCTGGCAGTTTGTCTTTGCCTGGTGCTATGTTGTTCTTTAAAGTGCGGATAGCTTTAAGGATTTCTTGTTTGCTTGGTGGTTTAGATGGGCAGTGATAGCTTCTGTTTATTTATAACGAAACTCAGTCCCCGTGTACTGCGTTGGAGGCCAGTTGACAGTTGGATTCATAAAATGGGTTCTCCGTGACCAGTGGTTATACACCGTTTTCCAAGTGCTTTGAAAACTGTGAGATTGGTTTTTAGACCCTATACTTCAGTTCACGAGGTAGTCGCGTGGTTTAACGACTAGACACTTGCATGCGGACCCGAAGGTCATGGGTTTAACTCTGCATGGAGCCGGTTAATTTTCACACAAGAACTTGCCTCTGGTATAACTATATGTGCTTAGTTATGATATGTTATCACAATCGAAATCATTGCAAACTGGGCATAACCATTGGGCATATTGGTCATAACCATGTGTGCTCAGTTAAAGCTTAAAGGTTACATTTGCGAGGATCGGCTTCATTTGCACCGGTTTTTATCTCATATGGCACGGCCTCTGTCCGTAGAATGGTAAGTTGGCTGCCGAAAGCGTCGCACAGATCTGACCACTGTGCCCTGTCGGGTCTCTTTATAAAATTCATTCATGAGCTCAACAACACAGCCGTAAAACAATCACATGACCTTCATAACGTGGGACAAGCAGTTTGACCACACAGTCCAATCACTGCTGGATTAGGCACAGGCTGACTAAGTTGCATTGTAGGGCCTTACAATCTGCAAGGGCCTAAAAAATTTCCGTGCTTTCCTAATATCCTACTCGAAACAGGGGATGTCAACAGGTCACAGAACAGTCCAATATTTCAGGGGGTGGCAGATTGGCTGCATGCAGTCGTTGAACCTAGGCTGCATGTAATCGTAGGACCTAGGCTGCACTCTCTCGTCGGACGTAGGTGGATAGGAGTCAGGCCCAGTTCTAGATGTTTTGGAGTTGTTAAAAGCACCAGAAAGCCAGGAAACCCAGTCTTACAACCCTCTAAAATGTCCGATAGTGCTGTGACGTCATCTGAGAGTAGAATATTAAGAAAGAACCAAATTCTAATTTTCATTTTGCTTGTTCACAAATGCAGTGTTCTTTTAAAAGTGGCTCAGTTAGGATAATATAATGTTGATGATTCTGCACACACATTCTTTACTATTTCTGTTACTAAACTTAAACGATACTATATTTCCATCATCCATATATTTAAAACGCATATAAACAGATATATATATTTAATTTTTCTAAAGTAACTGGTGTAATTTAATTCAATAGGAGTCTCAGGACTCTAGGTTTGGGCGTCGTCAAATCTAAATCCAGCCCTGCCTCTGACGCAGCAGTAATTTAAGCTCTTCCAAGCCTTCAAGCGTAGTGGCTATATAGGGTTAGATCTATACTGTATAGATCAAACTGCACTTGGTGGATGATGTGGTCAGCGTCGTGCCGGCCGCTTTTACTTCCCATGTTTGCACCTCGTACCCACTCAAAACCTAGGAGCCAAAGTCATTTTTGAAAAAAAGTCTGGCTTCCGCCAGGACCTGAACCCACGACTTTCGCTCCGCAGCCGAACGTCTAGCCGCTAAACCACGGCGGCTCCCTGCTGACGAAGCAGTCATCTCAGTATTTCTGTATACGACTCAATACGCGATAAATGATGTAATCAACATCAATCTTGTCGCTTTTACTTCCTATTATTTTTCCTGGTTCTTATTTCAAGTGAGAGCTCAGGGTTAATTGAAAAAAAAAAATCTCGAAGCTTATTGAAACCCAAGTTACCTAGGCCAACCGACAACCATCTCGTTCAAAATTCCCCTTGTATGTAAACGCGTCGCACTGTTCCTTGTATACTCACCTCCTTACCCGATCCACACTTAAATTCACCTATATGCGTGGAAACAGGTCCTTTACTTGATATATCAAAACAATTCTCTGCACACCTACCCCTGCTAAA